TTATGATAAGTTCATAACTTACTTATGTCGGATAATGTGCTTTTTTTTCAATTATTCGTGAATGATATAATTTGATTATATGTATGAAGGAATTTTAAACTCATTACGCCATCATTTCCTCATTCATTCACATTAATCATCTAAATTTATTTTTATAAAATAGACATGCAACCACCGAAAATCATTTCACATTTACATCATTAGCATAAGCATCAATCTCGCACATACATACCATTTAGTCACATGACAGAATTTAACATTTATAAATCATAATCAAGGATTTTCTAAAGTTGCTCATCCACAAGGACCAGTTAAACCCTTTAGTACACAACCAAATCCAATGTTGTGCTCAGTATGGAGTCAATCCATAAAGAATTGGAAGACATCAAAAGAAGGGTTATGGGACTCGAAGACATGAAAGAAGAAGTTAGCATGATCTTGAATATATTGACCAACAAGGGGAAGACACTAGAATTGAAAGTTGATGATGTGTCATCCGATGGTCAAAACTTATTCCAACAATACGGCAAAGTGGAAACTGTAGAAGACTTCAAAAAGCATGGCAAACTTGGATAAGAGAGAGAGAGAGAGAGAGAGATTTTTATTCAAGGTGAACCATCAAAAGGAAGAAAACGGAGTCACTCCCCTAAAAAAAATCAAACTCATCCATTGTCGTACATCTATACCAATATTACAACTTCCAAACTTCATTGTTCGATCAACTTTTCAAAATTTGTCCTCAGTATCACCAAATGTTCTCCGGAGAGACACAAATCAAATTTTACCCTATCTCTTCCACCAATGCCAAATTTCACCCTCAATTACCCTGAAGATGCCTACACATTCCTATTTTGAGTGAGACTCTACAACCCAATATCCAAGAGGGTATAGAGCCAACAGACAATGTGATCACCATTCTAGAGTTCCGGGACACTCAGTGGAAAATTTCAATACCCTAAACACAAGGGTACAAGAAATGGTGAAAGCCGGATGCATGGTTGAAGTTCAAAGAAGAAGCCAATTGTCAAAACATCAACAAAAGCCCACTCCCAAGATCAGTTGGTAGACATACAAGGAGATAAAGCTTGATTCAAGACTTGATCTTTATCAAATAAATTTCAAGATACTTTACTTTGTTGAATCAACCTTTACTTTGATAATGAAGAATAAAATATCATTTGCATTTCCATTCATTTGGGACATTGTGTGACTAATACCAATCTTGATCAAGGATTTTGCATAAATGATTCTTTTTCAAAATGATGATTATCTCTTCCAAATCTTTAAAATCAACTTTTCTTCTCTAAAAATGGGATCCTTAAAATGCATTTCATATTTACAAGTTGAGCCACGAGATTTTCATATCAAGCAACCATAAGCACCCCACTGGTGCTGAGTGATTTTAAACACCCTATCGGTGTCATGAATTTGAGCACTCCGCTAATGTTGAAAGTATGGTTAGTTTACTAAACTTGAGAGTATAAACACCCCACTGGTGTCCATAAATTATGTGAGCTAAATAGTCAAAGGGTGTAACGAAGGTACGACACTAGGCTACTTTTAGAAGCTTGTCACTACCATAACCAATCTCTACCAAAGTAGGACACAACTAGATACAAGCTCGAGTAGTCGAAGTATGATCCATAACGAGCAAGATGCCAACATATAATAGTCAAGTCCTCGTGAAACTCTCGCTTCCAGAAGACAAAGGAGTACAACAAAGACACGACATTAGTAATATGTCTCCCTCCGGAGAGGAATGTCCAAGTCTCCTAGCCAACAAGAAGGGCCACTCACATAGATTCATATACCGACGAATCTCCTAACTCTTTGAAGTTGGTGCACGAAATCAAAACAATCAAAATGACACCATGTATGGGGGCATAACAAAGTCAAGTAACTCCCGCACAAAAAATCAAAGAAAAGGCCAAAAGAGGAAAGAAAAAAGGCCATCAAAATAAAAAGAAAAACAATGTGGGACTCACACGTCAGATGCCCCTACAAGAGCGCTTGAAATTAAACCCCAGTCAAACTCATCACGAGTTACTAGTTATCTTTGCCAAAAGGACAAAAGGGTGATTCCAAGTATACCTTCGACGTCATCACAAGAGCGATGTAGAGTCATTCTCTCAATCAACCTGTCTACATACTCCTGCGGGGCTAGTCAAAAAATTAATCACCTTACCGAAGGAAGGGTATATGCATGCCAAGTTTGAAGAAAATACAAGATAACCCCATTGAGAAGGATTCCCAAGAAAAGAATGTCAACATAAGCTAAAGTGCATCCCATGATTATCCTCGTTATCCGTCATTGCAATTCTCACTTTCAAGCTAAATTAGAACCACCATGATACGAAGAATTCAACATTCATGATCACCACACAAAGGTCTTCAACGTTCATTATTCTGTGAGCCAATGAGATGTAGAAGCCTGCATCATACCAAGACCTCCTTTATCCATTCCGTATAAGGCCAAAATATGACCTCAACAATTGAGAATATTTTCATAATCCAGCTTCTACTCAAATGACCTCAGTTACTTCGCTACTCAAGCTTACCCCTCAAAACCAAAACTCCAAGACATTGGGGGCAACATGTTTCAAGAAGAACCACCATTTTCATGGAAAATGAGACTTCATCAACGTATATTTTTTTATCCCTCAGTTAACGTCACACTTTGGGGGCAAGCCAGATCTCTCAGCAAAAAAAAACTTTACACGAGACCGCTTACCATTAGAGTCTACTAGACAGGAGCTCCTTCATGACAATTCGAGAACTTTTACCGCAAGACCATACAAAGATCACCCATTCTCTCTATGATCAGTCTCTACCTCGAGCACATTTAACCATCAACATTGTGACCAGAATCTTGATAGTAGCCGAAGTGTCGTATACTCGGAGCACCCATAGGAATGAGTGAAAATGAAATTGAGCGTAAGAGTGAGAATAAAAGTGAGGGCTTGTGGATATTCTCATGGCTTGATTAATGAAAAACAAATTTCTAAACAATGCGGCAATGAACACAAAAGAAATCATTTTTCTCATATTGCACACATTTCCCTTAAGCGAGGCTTAGATTTCTAAAATCAGGTTCCCATTATGCTTTTTCAACCAAGATATTTCAAAACATTATTTACATTCATTTTAAGTCAAGATTGGTGAAAGTCGCACTTTGTTTCGAAGAACGGAAGGCAAATAACATATTCTCGGGGGGCAAAAATGGTGCTACCCATAAAGAAAGAAGAAAATGGTTCTCCAAACCCCTCAAATCATGAGTAAACGGGTAATCTCAAAGATCTTGAATCATTATGTTCATGCTACCCAACCAGTCAATCAAACTATTCTTCAACGAAGTATTTTGCACCTCACACCTCCCGCGAAGTCAGTCAAGCATGTGTATAAACCGACATCAACAAGACAATATCCCGATGTGACAAATTACTCTTAGCACAACACAACATGCTTGCATGGCAAGAAGATCAATCTAACTAAAATAACACATTATCCCCAAACTACCATGCTACAAAATCATCCTACATAACCAATTCACCATGCACATATATTGAAGATCATATGGCTAACACATCCGCCACTCAAGCACCAGTGTCCAAGTTGGAGAAAACAGGGGACCATCCTTCCATCAGTCCCCGGGAAGTGACATACATTGGACTCACTGAACATACAAAGAGGAAATACTAGACTGCAAGCCCATTTCCGCAAGATAATGACACGCTAAAGAAAGAATGAACCCGCCGACGACACCCATGTTACTCCTGTGCGAGCACAACCAAGGATCAAGTTTACTAAAAGGGAATGACATATTTTCCTTGTGGATGATCGAATTAAGATAACCCACCCTAACCCATTTCCATTTTTTGGCGGCCGACCATGAAGGTCATTGTTTCCTTCTCAATCGTATAAAGTTAACATAAAACCAGTGCCTGTTGTAAGTCTATTGTCATTTTGTAAGATACTAATGTTTGAAGATAGGTCACTTTACCATTGACTTCTTACTGCCAATTTCGAACTCCCACAGTCGCGGAAGTTGTTGGGATAACAACAGCATTTGCAGGGCCATTCATGGTTATGCTGCATAATAAGAGAGAAGTATGTGTCAGTTATCTCCTTATACTTTTGTGTCGTTGTGTTTCTTACTACAAATGAAATGATTGTCGCTGGATTTTGGTCAATGCTACTGTTGGTTGGTGGAGTTGATATAAAAAAATCGCGACGATCGGATACCCGAACACACAGATACGTTCGTTTGAAGTTCACGCCTAGACTAGGATTTTTCGAAAAAAAATTTATGGACCAAACCGCAGGGTTGGGCAGCGGTTTTGGACCAAACCGCTCCCACCCCGTGCGGTTTTCAAAACCGCCCCATAACCATGCAACGAAAACTGCGCCCCCACCTAGCGGCTTTCGTGTAAACCGCAGGGTGGGTGGCGATTTTCAAAAATGGGTACTATTTTTTTAATTTTTTATTTAAACAGTGCTATTTCTGGAAAAAAAAATCTCATATTCAGATATAACTTCTTTCTTGATGTAGACTTTGTAAAAATCATCCTAAAATTAAACTCTAGTGTAGTACGGTATTTTTCTGGGGTATTGCTATTCGTCGCTCTAAAATACCTTATTGATCGCCCTAACTTTGATTAAAATTCATCAAATATCCTTAACTTAATTTTTGGTCTTTCGTACCCACCGCTAAAGTGCCGGAAGGGTTGAAACACGTGTAAGGCGAGTTGGTTGGGACAGAGTAAAGAGCAATGGGAGTAATCACAGTGATGAAGAGCATCCTTTTTTATAGTACTTGAATTTGTTTTTGTTTACTTTAATGAAATTCAAGTATTATAAAAAAGGAAAAAGAACAACAAACAGTTGTGTTGGAATAAACAAACAATAGTATTATTATTATTCGAAACTCGAAACCTTAACTAGCTAGTCCATTCGTCTTCCGATAACAATTTTTTTCTTCCAATCTATCTGTCTATCTTTCCTCAATTCTTATTCTTCCTAATCCAATCTTTCTTCCTAAATGGTATTCCACAAAAAGTGGACATAACAGTTGCACTTTTCTTGGTGTCATATTCTGATCCAAACTCCTTTGCTTTCTCCTTTAACTCGTCCAACATCTTTCCAACCGCGTCCTCAAACGCCGAATGCACGTTTTTAGAAAAGTCTCCAGCCGCAGCGTTTTCTCTTATCATGATTGTATACTCCATCATTGCTTTCGTGATACTTGCCCTCTTCAAGTGCTCTTCATCCTCCGACTTGTGCTTCTCTCCTTGCCGAGACATCTCCTCCGCCGAGGCAAGCTGCAGCTTCCCTTTAACACCGACGCCTGGTATGCTCTTAGTCTCCTTCCAGCCGGATGTTTTATCCTTAACAGACACGTTGAGGTTTCCCATGGTGTCGATGTCGAAGGAAGTCGTGACCTTAGCACCCTTGGGAGCCGGTGGGATACCCTCGAACATTAGGGTGCCAAGAAGTTGATTGGCACTTGCCTTTCTTCTTTCGCCTTGGTAAACCGCAATTTTGAGGTTGGGCTGGTTGTCAACCACGGTGGTTAAGCGTGACTCGAACTTCATGGTTGGGATAGTGGCGTTCTTTGGGATTTTGACCGTCATCACATCGTAAAGATCAGCCATCCCAATGGAGAGCGGAGTTGCGTAATACACGAGATCCTCCACCTCCTGAATTCACCATGTAATATATGTATATATATATTTGAGAAAACTAACTAACTACAACCCGCAGAGAAAGTGCAATAACAATAACAATACTTAAACCAAACCTGTTTGTTCTGTTTGTGCGGTTCCTCATCATCGCCATGCACCTTTGCAGAGCCAGCTGCTGCTGCTGCTGCTGCTTTGATGTTTCGAGCCCCCATCTCTGTCTCACTATCTATATATAATTCCAGCAGCTAGTTAAGCTAGGGTTTCTTTTCTGTGCACAATTTACACACACGACATATATATATGGCCCAACGCCACGTACGTACGAGTTATTGATCAAATATAATCCGCATGCAATACGTACGGGCGGACACAGAAAGGGACAACTCACAATCACAATCCCTATTAATTACTAGCTATATATATAGCGAGCAACGTGCGACTTGTTGCTAGCTGTCCTAATTAAGAACTGCATGCAGAGTGTAGAAATATTATTGTTAGCTAGCGCGCTAGGATCCATTGTAAGCACGAGGAACATTTATTTATTTATCTATAGAACATGATTTTTTTTGAAGAGAGATCGACAATTCACCTAGGAAAGGGTCAGTTTCTACCAAGAAAACCAGATGATAAACTGGGGGAAAAAGGATATCGGATTGAATCGGACCATCGGGAACCAAATATTTCATTCGACTCGTCGATTTCTTAAAAAAAAAAAACAAAGAATAAGAATAATAATAATTATGGAACTGATGGGAAGAGCTGCTTACCGCGTAGGTTGATTGCTGTTCAGGAGGCCGAGGATACGTACGATTAATGGAGATTGTTCGTTCGTTGGTTCGTTCAGTCTCGTCTGGTTGATGATGATACTTATTTATCGGTGTTGCGATTGCGAAGGGCCGTGTGTTGTGTGGATTTTATGTCGGTGGGAGCTCGCTCTCTCTTTCCGTCTTGGAGTTGGTTTCCTCGCGCGGATGCCATGGGAAGGGAAAAGGACAAACGACGCTGCGTAGCGGTTAATATTTCAGAAAGGAAATCATCAGTAATGGGAGGGAGGAATGGGTATAACACACAGTCACACACTTTGCACACTTTAGCTACTTATAAAAAATAATAATATTCTAGTTTAATTAAAAACTAAATATAAAATATTATTAGTAGTTTTAGGGCCAAACGAAATATATTAGTCATCTATGTCTAACACGTTTTAGGATTGCAATTATTTTATGTGCCGCGTCGCTAAAAGTAAATTAGTTGGTAGAAGATACAAGTGGTGCCGGAAACTACTTGCAGAGTTCGAAATTGATGGACATCGGCCCAGTGTAACAAGCAAATGGCGAGATGTTAAGACATGCTTGCTTCATTCAGAGGTGTACACTCTTAAAGTGTTTATGAAATTCCAAGAAGAATACCTCAAAGTTTGGGATTTCATTATTGATATATCAATAAAACTAAAGTCCAGGTAGAATATAAAGTCGGATATGCAGGTGGAGGCATAGAGCTCCGGGTTCAGTTTGAGTCTTCCTCTCAAGCAGTTGATTGCAGTTGCATGAAGTTTGAGTAATATAAAGCAAAACTAATTACTTGAACTATGCTCAAGTATAATGATCAAAGAATCGGAAAGAAGGATCCAATGACCATTGACCTATAGGCAATTACTTAGATTCCTCATTTTCGGGTACAAAACCTTCATTCCATTTTTTTACATGTACAAAACCTTCATTATGGAAAAATAGTCACATATCATGATTGAACCATGCATAGCTAAATTTATATGGACTATATTGCATTTCTGCAAGTATAATATAAAGTGTAAATCCTTTGTAATTAAAGGGATAAGGATTATTCTTTCCTCACTCTTCTTCTCCCACTTTACCCTTTCTCTGGCTCGTGGAGCTGAACCCTCCTAGGAATCATCGATCCAAAACCATCCACCATTCAACTCCATCGCCGTCGATTATCAATGACTACTCAAGCAACCTCAACCATCGAATTCCTCTTCTACATGGCCCTATACTTGCTGGTATCCACCCGACCCAGCAACCTGTCGTTCTGCCGGTGTATACTCTCCTTCAAAAATTCACGATCATGAGCGATCTGCGATTTCTCAATAAGGATTATTCTCTCCTCACTCTTCTTCTCCCAATTTTCCCTTTCTCTGGCTCGTGGAGCTTAACCCTCCTGGGAATCATCGATCCAAAACCATCCACCACTCAACTCCATCGCCGCCGATTATCAATGACTACTCAAGCAACCTCAACCATCGAATTCCTATTCTACATGGCCCTATACTTTCTGGTATCCACCCGACCCAGCAACCTGTCGTTCTGCCGGTGTATACTCTCCTTCAAAAATTCCCGATCATGAGCGATCTGCGATTTGTCAATGAACATGGAGCAGTTCGACAGTGGATTTGGGTTTGATTGTGCGTTGATGGCATCGAACAATTGCAAGTCTTCCCTTGCTTTCCCATCTTATGGATGGCAGAGTGTACGGAAGGAAAAGAGAACAAGCTACGAGTAGAAGTGTCGGAAGCCATAAGGATGATGCTTGAGAAGGGAAACGATGGGTGTTCAGGAAAAGCGCGCTCTATGAAAAAGAAATCGCGCTCTGTACAAATGAAATTAAATTCTCGAATTATGACTGGCTCCATCAGAATTCACGTTTTCACGCTTGAAAGCGGGAGCGGCAGGATAAAAATGACGAATTAGATTACCTAAGTCATATGATGAACCTTTTAAGTAACTAATTAAGTAAGACTTATAATTTCAAGTAATTAAAAGTCGGTGTAACTGTGTAAGAGATATTATATGCTCTATGTTTGAAGTTTAGCATGTAACATGTAGCTTTAATTGACAGGCACTATATATATAGCAAGAAAATTCGTTTGAGCGTATATTTATGCTAACAAAGTTTGAACGCAACTTTCTAATTTCTAAAATTCGTTTGACGTATATGTATGCTGATGAAGCTTGAGCGCAACTTTCTAAATTCTAAAATTCATTTGACGTATATCCCCGCTGACGAAGCTCGAAAGCAACTTTCTAAATTCTAAAAATTCATTTGACGTATGTGCCCGCTGACGAAACTTGAACGAAACTTTCTAAATTCTAAAGATACGTGTATATATTTGGATTTTAATGATAGCTTGAGTAAGTGTAAGTATCCTATACCCTTAGTAAGAGACTATTATTCAGATCTTAAATTAATCAAAGTTTAGAATGTGGTATTGTAGGTTACTACACCTTAATGAGTAAATTAGACCATGATTCTCTAAATTCTATATCAGAATATCAATTTAATTAACAGACACAATATTCAACGATTTTAATTTTTTGAAATACATCAAACATACTACATGCACCATCTAAGAGTTTAAGATTTAGGGTTTAGATAATTAGAATCTAGGATTTACTCATTAAGAGCTAGGGTATAAAATCATATTCCAAAATCCAGTTAATGTAATATCTAAATAGCATTTCTTATTATGTGGAAGAATTTATATTGGAGTGGAGACTTGGTTGACTTTTACTTGATGTTCGAAAAAGATTACTCTAATGTAACTGTAACTAAAAGTAATTACATAAAGCTGTATTGAATGAAGATAATAAAATCCGGACCTACACATAGACAATCAATTCAAGTAGGGATTTAATTTATTTCATTCAATTCCATTCATCTAATTCATTAGTGTTGTTTCCTATCTGCAATCTACCCTTTGTTAGTTTATGCATCTCTCTAACTGCATGCAAGTGGTTTTCTCAATATTGACTTCTGACTTTACTAATAAAAAAGTCAACCCGCAACAAACTAATTAAGCAACAAAATATACGAATTTGTATAAACAATGTAGTAATTTACTTAACCATAAAAATAAATGCAGTTATCTATTCAGACTAATATCATCACAAGATAACCATAAAAGAAACTACGACGTAATAATTGGTCGACAATTATGTAACCATGTGATCGTGTTGATACAATTCCTGTAGTTGAAAAATATAAGAATACAATCATAAAAAAATTCTTAGAAGCAAGAAACACTGTGGGACGCATAGGTGACTTTTCCATCCAGCTAAGCCATAGCTTTGAATATTCAGTTTTTTACTAGGAATATTAGCTTAACACCCAAACTTACGACTCCAAGTTAAAAGGCAAAATATATATTGATAATGTTTCTAATAAGAAAATGTGTGGTCAATTAGGGATTCTAATTAATCAAACAATAATATTAACAAAGGCCATGCAACACGATTTCTAATTAATAAAAAAAGTATTTTTTTTCTTTTATTAAGGATTCTTTATAATTTCTAATTAATAAAACAAAGGCCGTAACACGATTTCTGTATCGATTTTTATAGCGATTTCTGTATACAGATGATGCTATTCCAAATTAATTGTTGCCTAATTGAATTGCATTTGTAGTCCAACAGGAAATATCATTTCATCAAATGATGAGCAAGCTAGATCCAAACTACATACGTTGCCTAACCAAATATCTATTTTTTGGCTCCTGCCCGGGAAATTGCCATCCCCGTCTCTCTTGCAAGTTGCAATTATTCAAACAAGTGGCCAGAAAAATTGAATATTGTATTTTTTTAATCAGACTTTTCTCCCTCAATAATTGTTTTCTTTTTATTTTTCTTCAGTCGGCAGCAACATAATACCAAATAGTCCACTTGGAGGCATGGTCCAGGAAACCGGATCGTACCGGCCGGTTGAACCGGAAAAATCGAAAACCGGACCAGTGACGAAACGGTACACCAAATGCCGCTGCAGAAGTCTGCCGGCCGGTATTGGGAAGTCATACCGGCGTATCGCGGTATCTCGGCCGGTTTTGATGCAACCGGCGGTTTGCAGAATTCTTGAGATGCGGTCGCGTTTTGGTTAAAGACCGGCCGTTATTCGCGTTCCCCGCTGTCGTTCGCCTCCCCCATCATCCTCTTCATCTATCCAAAGCAGCCATCACAGGA